CCCCCCCCAAAAAAAAGAGAGATCAAAGATGGGAAAGGCTGACTGCTTGCTTCTTCCATGGGAAACTGAGATGTATTTTGTTTTGTTTTGTTTTTGCCAGTCCTGGGGCTTGAACTCTGAGCCTGAGTTCTGTCCCTGAGCTGCTTTTGCTCAAGGCTAACGTTCTACCACTTTGAATCACAGTTCCACTACTGGTTTTTGAATGGTTAATTGGAGATAAGAATGTCAAGGAACTTTTCTGCCCAGGCTGCCTTCAAACCACAATCCTCAGATCTCAGCCTTCTGAGTAGCTAGGATTAAGGCATGAGCTACCAGTGCCTGGCATGAAACAATTTTAAGAAAGCAAAACTAATGTAAAAATGAGGGCTTACATATTTGTAGTGCTAAATCCAGTGATGATTTCAACCAGTTTCTTATTATTGAATCCCCCCTTTTGCCCTAGTTTCAAAGTGCATACACTGCAGATATTTTGCGCGAAGGAGGAAATATACTAAAGCAAATCACTCAATATCCTATCATCCAGAGGTAAATGCTAGAAATATTCATGTGTAGTTAGCTGCTAACTTTGTATACATAAATATATATAACAAAATGTTCTGTATATATCCTGATTTGTTTCAATGAAAGCCTCATACGCATGCTCACACATCATCAAATAGCCTACACATAGTCTGTTAGAACTGTTAAATAATCCATCATAAGAATGTGTTATAACCTGGGCACCAGTGGCTCACGCCTGTAATCCTAGCTACTTAGGAGGCTGAGATCTGAGGATCATGGTTCAAAGCCAGTGCAGGCAGTAAAGTCCATGAGACTCTGATCTCCAATAAACCACTAGAAAACCGGAAGTGGCGCTGTGGCTCAAGAGGTAGAGCACAGACCTTGAGCTGAAGAGCCCAGGGACAGCGCCCAGGCCCAGAGTTCAAGCCCCACAACCGACCAAAAAAAAAAAAATGTATGTTATAGCACCAGTGTTAGAATATATTATAGGCACCCATGTCTCATGCCCATTAATCTTAGCTACTTAAGAGGTTGGGATCTGAGGATCAAGGTTTAAAGTCAGCCTGGCCAAGAAAGTCTGAGACTCTTAGCTCAAGTTAACCAGCAAAAAGCCAGGAGTGGAGCTGTGGCTCAAGTGTAGATGGTTAGCCTTGGATGAAAAAGCTAAGGGACTGCACCCAGACCCTGAGTTCAAGCCCCAGTAACATCACACACACACACACACACACACACACACACACACGTATGTTATAGTGAGCATTTTTAGCCACTATAAAACAAAAAAAGTATTAAGACAAATTTTTGCATTATTCTTTGACATGAATGACAAGTTGTAGAATAATATTTACTGGTCCAATATACATGTTGCAGACTTATAAATGTATTACCAAATCAAGCATCTTACTATATTTGCCTCTCCTGACCTACCAGGGAGGGATTGGGGTTGGTAACATTTGCTTTTCTCCTCTCACGTTTGTGAGCCTCACACTGTTCCTAGCCTGCCAACTTCCTAGTTATTATTATTTAAAAATAATAATAAAGCTGCCTGTGTCTCACCCCTGTAATCCAAGCTACTCAAAATGCTGAGATCTGAGGGCCCAGGCAGGAAAGTCCATGAGATTCTTATCTTGAATTAACCACCACAAAGTTGAATGGAGGGGTGGCTCAATTTGTACAGTGCCATCCTTGAGTGAAAGAGCTAAGGAACGGTGCCCAGGCCCTGAGCTCAAACCACAGTACTGGTACCAAAAAGCAAACAAAGCCCACTTTATTTTGGGACTTGAACTTGGGGCACTCCACGACTTGTACCACACCTGTAGCCCTTTCTACTTTAGGTTATTTTTCAGATAGAGTGTCTCTTTTTGCATAGCCAGCGGGGGCTATCAGCTACCTCTGCTTCCCATGTGTGGAGCTGATCACCAGATGTGTACCACTATACTTGGCTTGTCTATCAAGGTGGAGACTCACTAACTTTTTGACCACACTGATCTCTTGGATCTCTGCTTTCCAGGTAGTGAGGATTACAAGTCTTAGACCCTTAAAAGAGCCATTTAGAGCCATTTTTGTCTGTGTATAGGTTAAAGTTTATTATTTATCAAAACAGGTCTTGGAGGAGGAGGAAGAGTAATTCAGATGCCAGTAATTTTTGTGTGCCTACATGTGCTGGGCACAATGCCAGATGCTATTTTGTTTATTTCTGCTGCTCAACACTCCCTTGGAACGTCTGTGTCATCCCTTCCTCGTGTGTCCCAGAAGGCCGTGCTGTGACAGAGGAGACACAGCTGGTCAAGCCTGGTACCTAGGTCTCCCCATCTCTAGTAGAGAGTACTTACGTGTTTAGTTACTGTTCTTTCCTCCAACTGGCCTAGCATAGTCTTGTTTCTATACATCCTGATCATAAGAGAGAAACTCTAAAATAGATTCACAGCTTACCACTTTCTTTTAAGTTTCTGAGTAAAACATGTTGACCTCAAAAGCCTGCTGAGGGTGGGAAGGTGGCTCAGTGGTAGAGTGCTTGCCTTGCATGCATGAGGCCCTGGGTTCGATTCCTCAGCACCACATAAGCAGAAAAAGCTGGAAGTGGCGCTGTGGCTCAAGTGGTAGAGCGCTAGCCTTGAGCTGAAGAGCTGAGGGACAGCGCCCAGGCAGAGTTCAGGCCTCACAACTGGATCCCCCCCCAAAAAAAAGAGAGATCAAAGATGGGAAAGGCTGACTGCTTGCTTCTTCCATGGGAAACTGAGATGTATTTTGTTTTGTTTTGTTTTTGCCAGTCCTGGGGCTTGAACTCTGAGCCTGGGTTCTGTCCCTGAGCTGCTTTTGCTCAAGGCTAACGTTCTACCACTTTGAATCACAGTTCCACTACTGGTTTTTGAATGGTTAATTGGAGATAAGAATGTCAAGGAACTTTTCTGCCCAGGCTGCCTTCAAACCACAATCCTCAGATCTCAGCCTTCTGAGTAGCTAGGATTAAGGCATGAGCTACCAGTGCCTGGCATGAAACAATTTTAAGAAAGCAAAACTAATGTAAAAATGAGGGCTTACATATTTGTAGTGCTAAATCCAGTGATGATTTCAACCAGTTTCTTATTATTGAATCCCCCCTTTTGCCCTAGTTTCAAAGTGCATACACTGCAGATATTTTGCGCGAAGGAGGAAATATACTAAAGCAAATCACTCAATATCCTATCATCCAGAGGTAAATGCTAGAAATATTCATGTGTAGTTAGCTGCTAACTTTGTATACATAAATATATATAACAAAATGTTCTGTATATATCCTGATTTGTTTCAATGAAAGCCTCATACGCATGCTCACACATCATCAAATAGCCTACACATAGTCTGTTAGAACTGTTAAATAATCCATCATAAGAATGTGTTATAACCTGGGCACCAGTGGCTCACGCCTGTAATCCTAGCTACTTAGGAGGCTGAGATCTGAGGATCACGGTTCAAAGCCAGCCCAGGCAGGAAAGTCCATGAGACTCTTATCTCCAATAAACCACTAGAAAACCGGAAGTGGCGCTGTGGCTCAAACAGTAGAGTACTCACCTTGAGCTGAAGAGTGCAAGGACAGCGCCCAAGCCCAGAGTTCAAGCTCTGTGACCAACAAAAAACAAAACAACAACAGAAGTCAATGCAGAAGTCTTAGAAAATTCCAAACCAATATTTCTGAGGAAGATAAAAGTGCATGGTAGATAGGGAGTGGGTCAAAGGCTGCCATAGGCAATCTATGGAAGAAGAAAGTGGGCAAAAGACAGAAGGAATTTCTCTTTATCAAGGGCATCAAGAGCCGAAAACCACTATCGGCGACTATTCAGAGTAGCTTGAAAACGACCTTGAAAACGACCTGCTCTTTCTATGACAGTGACAGTGTTACATCTGGTAGAGGGGAGACAGGAGCTATGAGAAACCCAAATGAAGGGTGCATCTATTTCCTGTGTCCCCTGGAAACCTGGTGTCCTGTCGAGGTGTTCCTGATGGGACAGTTGGTCTTGAATACTCGTCTCCATGCAGCGATGGCTTAGCTGGGCCACTTGCAGAAGTTGTTTTCTTCCTTGGTTTTGCATCACAGATTAAGGGGCTGGATCAGATGGGGTTTGCAAAATAATTAGTGTATGAAATGAAGGGCTGGGTGGGTAACCCTGCGCTAGCGGTTGGATCAGTTGTCTCTTGGTGAAATGGAACCCACTGTGTGTGTTTATTTGCCAGATGGCAGAGCGGTGGAACCTTAACATGGTTTGGGTTATTATTGAGAAGTGCCAGGAGGTTTGGCATGCTTTCAGACCACAGTTGAAAACTTATAGCAAAGAGTTGTTCAACAGTAAGAGAACTTGCAACTGTGGAGATGGTTCCTGGAACAGCCCACTCATGTCTCTGTTTATTTATATGAGAGAGGATCTGCTAGGGAAAAGGAGAAACTAGCATGCTGCTCTCTGGACAAGGAACACAGCAGTAAGGAAGGTAGCTGAAAGCCTGGCAGAATGAACCTTGCTGCAGAGACTTCTTAGAATGATGATCTTTGATCTGTGGGAAGAAGCTTAGTATTCAGAAGCTTGCTGTGCCACTTGGACAAAGAGTAGGGAATGAATTTCCTCTCTGTGAGTTGGAGACTTACATTAGAAAACCATCAAAGTGGGGAGCCAGCCAGCCATTGGTGGGGCGCACCTAGTATTCTGTTATTCATAGTTCAAAGCCAGCCTGGGCAGGAAAGTATGTGGGACTCTTATCTCCAATTAATCACAAAAAGGCTGAGCTGTAGCTCAAGTGGTAGAACACTAGCCTGGGATAGTGCCCAGGATCTGAGTTCAAGCCCCAAGACCAGCAGGAAAAAAAAAGTGGGGGGCCAGTAGCTCGCTTGTAATTCTAGTTACTCAGGAGGCTGAGATCTGAGGATCGTGGTTTGAACCCAGTCTGGGCAGAAAAGTGTGTGAGCCTCTTAACCTCCAGTGAGCCACAAAGCGGGGCTAGAAATGTGGCTCAAGTGGTAGAGCTCCAGGTGTGAACAAAGAAGTCGTGAGAGAACTTGAGACCCCAAGTTCAAGCCTTGGTACTGACATGAAAAAGAAAAGAAAGAAAAGACCATCCGGGCCATTTAAAGATGTGTTTGAATGAGATGGCCTCTTGATGAGAGGAATGGGGAATGGGTATCCCAATAGTTTTCTTATTCCATCACCAGTGTGTTTCCATGCATAGTCCCTGCTGTGTTTCTGGTTGTGTTTTCTTCTTTTTTTAGGTGCTGAGAGATAGCATCTCAGCAGGTTAAGAGGTTATAGTGTGAAGCCAGATACCGTTATTCACACCTGTCATCCTAAGACTCAGCCTGAGCTACATAGTAAGACTTTTAGTCTCTAAGGCACCAATGGCTCACCTTTGTGATCCTAGCAACTCAGAAGGCTTGAGATCTGAGGATCATAGTTTAAAGCCAGACTAGGCAGGAAAGTTTGTGAGACTCTTCTCTCTAATTAAGCACCAAAAGCCAAAAGTGGAGCCGTGGCTCAAGTTGTAGAGTGCTAGCCTTATGCAACAACAAAAAAACAAAAAACTCAGGAACAGCACCCTGGGTTCAAGCCCTATTACTGGCACCAAAACGATAAAATAAGGTGTGTGGTTTTGCTCCCCAGTGGGACATAGCATAGTAGCAGTACTGTGAATTCCAGGGGATTCTGATACACATTCCTTCATAAACATTTTTAGTTCTATTTCCCCTAGCAACTTTTAGTAATTAAAATTTATGGATTTTCATTAATATTTTTATTTTATTTATTTATTTTTTTGGTCATAGGTCTTGAACTCTGGGCTTGGGCACTATCCCTCAACTCTTCAGCTCAAGGCAAGTGCTGTACCATTTGAGCTAGAGCGCCACTTCCGGTTTTCTAGTGGTTTATTGGAGATAAGGGTCTCACGGACTTTTTCTGCCCAGGCTGGCTTTGAACCGTGATCCTCAGATCGCAACCTCCTGAGTAGCTAGGATTACAGGCGTGAGCCACCGGCGCCCAGCCATCATTAATCTTTTTTTTTTATATTTTATTTTATTTTATTTGTGAACATACTGTACAGAGGGGTTACAATTGCATGGGCAGGATAATGCGTACATTTCTTACCAAGCATTGCAGCCTCCTCCTTTGTTTACCCTTCCCATCCCTTCCCAGCCTCCCCCCCATCATTAATCTTTTTAAGTGACTTGTCAGGTTGATTTCTTATTTCAAAGTTTTATCTTCTCACTTTAAAATGTTTTTATAGAACCATGGCTCTCTGCATTGGACATGGAACTGTGCAATTCCGGGGTGGAGATGGGAGGGATGGAATGGGAGATGACATTATGCAAAAGGAAATGTACTTATTACCTGATGTATGTAAATGTAACCCGGCTGCATATCACCTCTAAAACAATAGAGCAATTAGAGAAAAAGAAAGAAACAAAAAAGTCAGTGGGGAAAGAAGTATTAGCTATTAAAGTAATTCACTTGCTAGAAGGAGAAGGAACAAACACTGGTTGAGAATCTACTGTGACCCAAGTTATGTTGCCAGGTTCTGGATACTTCCTTTATTTCCACCGATTACCATGTAATAATTATGCACATATATTGGGCACTGTGGGGGTATTTCAGTACATGTATACAATGCGTAGTGATCAGATCAGGGTAGCTGGAATGTATCTACCTCCACTATGTATCACATCTTTATGTTAGGAACTTTGCAGTCTGTTCTACTTGCTATTGTGAAACACACAGTTGGTGCTTCTTTTCTGAATCCTTAGGATAATCTTAGTGATTAGGGGATTACCTTTAAATGCATGTAAGAATTTTGCCCAAGGTCATGTATAGTTTGAACTGGCCAAGTTAGGCTTTGGACCTGGCTTTGGTCCTGGGCCCATCTAAAGTGTCATCCTGGTGGTTTTTCCTTGACTCCAGGACCGGGTTAAAGTCTGTAGAATGAGCATATTTGTGCTGTCTCTTCCTCTTTTGGCCAAGAGGTCACCGTGCATTAGTTGGATGCCCTCCATCCCCTCTCCCTTCGGTCAAGAGGTTTGACAAGTCTCGAGTTAGTCAGCGGAAACTCTGCTGTGTGACTGTCTGATTCCCCTGCATACCCTGCACACGTTCAGGGTTGCTGGAAAACGAGGGCCTCATGACAAGTGATGCTTAATGCAGTGTTTTGTTTTTTGTTGTCTGTGAGTGTGTGTATGTGTGTGTGCACATGTGCGTGCATGCATGCACGCACACATGCCAGTCCTAGGACTTGGACTTAGGGCCTAGACATTGTCCTTGAGCTTTTGTGCTCACTTTGAGCCACAGCTCCACTTTCAGCTTTTTGTGGTTAATTGGAGATAAGAGTCTCTCTGCGGGGTGGGGGGGGTGGGGTGGGGGGTGGTGGCTCACGCCTTTAATCCTAGCTATTCAGGAGGCTGAGATCTGAGGATATCGGTTCAAAGCCAGCCCGCTCAGGAAAAGTCTATGAGACTCTTATCTCCAGTAAACCACCAGAAAACCGGAAGTGTTGCTGTGGCTTGCCTTGAGCTGAAGAGCTGAGAGACAGCGCCCAGGCTCAGAGTTCAAGCCCCACGACTGACAAAAGAAGAAAAAAGAGTCTCTCAGACTTCCCTACCTAGGCTGACTCTGAACCTTGATCCTCAGTTCTCAGCCTCCTGAGTAACTAGGCTTATAGGTGTGAGACACCAACACCCAATAATGCAGTATTTTAAATGATCAAAATTAGTGCAAAAACCTTCATGAGGGAGAGCAAAAGTTTGAACAAAGGCCAGACAAGTCACCAGTGGGATCCTGAGGCAAAAGGAAAATTAGGAAAGACTGATCTTGTTTAAAATGAATAAAATATTCATCATGGATTATTTACACTCATTTTGATATTAAAATGTTGAGGGAAAGCAGGTGCTGGTGATTCATGTCTGTCATCCCAGCTTCTCAGAAGGCTGAGATCTGGAGATCATGGATTGAAGTCAGCTCAAGCAGAAAAAAAATCCAAGAAACTCCATCTCCAAGATAACCAGCAAAAAGCTGGGCTGGAGGCATGGCTCAAATGGTAGAATGCTACCAAAGCAAGCAAGCTGAGCAAGCAGGAAGCCTTGAGTTCAAATCCTGATAACAGAAAAAAAAAAGATATGAAGATATTTACCTTGGTGCCTCAGCATTTGGCAAGTCTTTTGATCTTTGTTTGTTTTTTTTACATTTTCACCGACTCCCTTTGTGCTATACTTTTTTGTTCCAGGTGGAGCTTTGAGATTAGTGGGAACCAGTCGTGCAAGTGGTCCAATGTGGTTGTATGGGTGTGTGAAGGGTCAGGGCACTAGTAGCTGGTGGGAAGGGGGTTCAAAGGCTGCCTGGAAGTTGGCCAGTGGACACGATTGGAGGAAAGGCTGTGCCCGGAGACGGCTAGTCCCGTCATGGCTCTGAGGCTCAGTTTTCCTAGCAGTACAATGAGGAAATAGCCACTTCTGCCGTGTTACGAGGAGTCCTTCACACCAGGCCTCTGAGAGCCGAGCGTGGCTTGTGTTCTCTGTCCTTGCAGTACATGGTGGTAGACAGGATGCTTAGCTGCGACACCATCTGACTTGTTTTACAGACATCCGTGACAGCGATGGCAGTTCCAGCAGCAGCCACCAGAACCTCAAGAGCACAGCCAAGTGGGCCACCTCCCTGGAGAGTCTACTGGAAGACCCGGAAGGCGTGAAGAGATTTAGGGTTTGCCTGTTTCATTGTTAACCAAGACGGATATTGTGGATAAAGGAGAGAGAGAGAGAGAGAGTGTGTGTGTGTGTGAGAGAGAGAGAGACAGAGACAGAGACAAAGAAAGACACAGAGAAAGAGACAGAGAGAGACAAAGAGAGACAGAGACAGAGAGAGACAAAGAGACACAGAGAGAGATCAGGCCAGCCTTCAACACTCTACCTCACAGTGAGGCAAGACCTCCTATGTGTCATGATTTAGTTGGAAAGATTCTTGTGGCTGGCCCTAAAACACCACAGAGGTTCCTAATTTTCATATAGTTAAGTGAAAGAGGAGGTAAGTGATGGAGAAAAGAGCCATGTCTGAGGAGTCTGTAGGAAGGATTTCTAGTATTACGCCACCTGAGAAGAGTAGGCTAGGTCTCTATGATATGGAGAGTTCTCTCTCTCTCTCTCTCTCACTCAAAGCACTTTTCCACCTTTTGGGTGGCTAATTGGAGATACGTGTCTCATGAACCTTGCTGCCTGGGCTGCCTTGGAGCCGTGATCCTCAGATCGCAGCCCCTTGAGTAGCTGGGATTACAGGCGTGAGCCACCAGTGCCCCGCTGGTTGTTCTCTTGAGTCTTGGATACTCTGTAGGATGCATTATTGCCAGCGAGGAAAGCCAGCACAGTGGAAGGAGGAGAAGGAGCTCCAAGAGGAGGGCTGATGGGTGGGTCAGCATCAGTGGGCCTAGGAGGACTTTTCTGCCACTTGGGGGGCCATGTATGAATTCTAAGACCAAGCTCCAGCAACTCTGTCTTTAAGTGTTGGGTCAGCATGCTATTGGTCCCCAGCAGGTTCCTGGCAAGGGCAAGGCCGCCTGGTCCCTGGACGTCAGGCCACTCTAAGTATCGTGTCTAGGAGGTCTGTTCGCTAACCTCCCAACCACCACCACAGGAACGCAACACCTCCAATTTGAGATAGCCCCACCATAGTGTTTTAGACATGCCTTATGTGTTTTCTTTTGTTTAAAAAAAAATGGGCCTGGTTTCGGAGGAATGTACTTTGTTTAAACAATGCCTGGAAGGAACTAATACATCTTCCAGTTTAATTTACTTTTTGCTAATTTATTGTCAGCTTAGAAATGCCAGTAGATTCTTGTTCCATTTTAATTCTTTCTAACCATGTCAAACCCATTAAAGTCAGATGCATCTGAAATTTGAGCTGATATTAACATACTTTGCTTTTCAAGGTGGGGTTTTCAAAGGATCCAGGAGCCAGGCTGTGTTACATTTGACCAGATCCGTGCTTAAAAGGAAATGTATCATTTATCTGTTCAAATGGAATACTCTGTGACTTTTTTCTTCTTTTTACCCATAGGAATTTTTGAAAAAGGAATTCAGTGAAGAAAATGTCCTGTTTTGGCTAGCATGTGAAGAGTTTAAGAAAATGGAAGATAAGAAGCAGGTATTTTTTTTTTTTTAACCTTGTAGTTACTTTGCAGGTCCTATTTTTCCCCCTCTCCTGAGAAAATGCGTAAAGAAACCTGATTCATATTAGATTCCAGGGAAGATTGAAGTTCCCCTTAGGTATCTTGTGTTGATCAAATATTAATAATTTGAAGAAGAATAAGTTAATCTATTTTTAAATGGAGCGGTTCTAACAGGCCAATATTTAAAGTGAAAATAACGATTTATGTCATCTATGAGTTTGTCATTATGTACAGATTTTTTTTTTCTTCATGAATAAGTCATGAGAGTGTGTGCCCAGAGGGGGCATGTAGCATTTTGGGGAAGAGTAAAACACTAAGTAGATAGATGCATAATGTCAGAAGAACACGGACGATGGGCTGGTTGTCAGTTATTCAGCATATCTTAGCAAAGAGTGCTGAGCTTGGCGGGTGTCCTTTACTGCGGTTGATTTTTGGTTCTTGGTGTCTGCTAGGTGGTCCCCCACTGAAGGGTGGTTGTGATGGGGCGGGTCAGATGATGCAGATGGCCGCAGGGTGGGAGAGCTCGTGCATCTGTCTGTGTGCCCACTGGGAAGTGCTGTGAAGGAGCAGGCGAATGGTGTGGGGCCGTAGGGAGGGATGGGGACTGGGACCAGCAGCGAATGTCCGTACTGCCTGGGGAGCCTATGCTGCTTTTTAAAAATTTATTTGATTTGATTTATTTTTGTTTTGTGTTGTGCCGGCACTGGAATTTGAACTAAGCCTTGCTTAGTTTTATCATGCAAGACTGGCACTCTACCACTTGCCACAGTTCCACTTTTGGCTTTTTTGGTAGCTGATTGGAGATAAGAATCGCACAGGCTTTCCTGCCTGGGCTGGCTTTGAAAGGAGGTCCTTAGAGCTCAGTCTCCTGAGTAGCAAGGATTACAGGCGTGAGCCACTAGTGTCCAGCTGGTGCTGCTTATTCGGATCTGGGCTTGGCTGGGCTTCTTTTGCTTTGCACTCCGTCTCCACCAGCACACAGGTCGTGGAGCATTATGACTAGTTGTTTGTTTGTTTATATTTCTTGTTCTCATCCTTGGAGACCTCTCTTCCCAGGCCTCTTCTGGCACATTCAACTCTGTGCTGTGCATCTGGAATCTCGTATAAAACCATCTGATGTGTCCATGTTGGAACTCATTAAAATTATTATTTTAATGGTGGTATAGAGAGAGGGGAATTTATTTTTTAAAGTTAAAACTCTTGCCTGATAGTAAAGCATCTCCCTGGGCAGAGGTAGCCTGTGGACTAGCCAGGCTCTGGGCCTCTGTCTCCAAAAGCTGGGTCCCCCAGGGCTGGCAGTCGCTCAGAGCCTGGAGAATACACACCACAGGCTCATTCAAAACTCCCCGGCTCAGATGCACTTCTCTGTCCGCCTCCCTCTCTGGAGGTGGTAGCAATAGATGCCACAATGGTTTCCTGTGGCATGAATCTCCTAACTGGGCATGACCTTCCGTGCCCCTCCGGATGGCTTGCTGGAGCATGCTGGGTGGTGAAGGGTCTCTGGAAGTGGGAAATCAGGAGGAGAGGGTCTGCCTTCGGAAGGCCTGCAGAACAGGAATGTTCATGGTTCCCCTTGTCTCCAGCACCCAGAAAATGCTCAGAGAACTATTTATCCATGGGCTGCCCCCTCTAGTGTGAAAACGTAGCTCACAGTCAGTCAGGTGAGCAGGCGTCCACACATGTGTCCTGGGGTGTGAGGGGCCTGCCGTGCAGACAGGAAGCCAAGCTCCCCCTGTGCCCCTGCGGAACTGGACTTGAATCGCTTCCTGAGGTCACCCCGGAGTCCCTGGCAACTCTCTTTGTCCCTGTCAGTTCAGATGAAGCCACCACATCTTTGTGAAGCGCCTGCTCAGTGTCGGGCCTGGTGTAAGCCCTGGGGACACCACAGGGACTGGCCAAATGATCTTTTTTTTCTTTTTCTTCTTCTTTTATTTGGTGGATCATGGGGCTTGAACTCTGGGCCTGGGTGCTGTCCCTCAGCTCTTCAGCTCAAGGCTAGCATTCTACACAGCACCACTTCCATTTTCTGGTGGTTAATTGGAGATAAGAGCCTCTCAGATTTTCCTGCCCATGTTGGCTTGGAACCAGGATCTTCAGATCTTAGCCTCCTGAATAGCTGGGATTACAGGTGTGAGCTACCAGTGCCCAGTGTCGGCCAGATGATCTTTAGAGAAGGAGAGTTCACTAGTGTAACTCATGTGAAGATGGGCGCACAGGCAGTGTGGTCAGGGGAAGTCACTGGTAAGCGGGAGTGGGCCAGGGGAGGGTACCCTTCTCCTCACACTGTCCCTGACACACTGTCAGGTCTTTTGGAAGGTTGAAAACTGGGATGGTGCTGGGGAGGGTGGAGCCATGGGTGACATTGGGCTGTCTGGGACTCAGCCTAGGCCCCCGCCAGTTTCTGGGCCCAAGAGGCCAGCAGCAGCCCACCTGCGGCCACCAGCTTGCTGCCCCTCTGCTCCAGGCCTGTCCTACAGGAAGTCAAACCAGATGGCCCCGCTTGACCTTACTGATTTCCACAAGTAGAGGAGTTGGTGCAAGAGACGTTGGCTTAAGAGAATTTTATAGCCACATTCACCATCTCTGGCCCGACAGGAGTCAGGGAAGGATTTATCTCTCTGCAGTCGACTAGGCTGTTAAGGACTTGGTGCTGATGCTGTGGTTTGAACTCAGGGCCTGAGTGCTGTCCTTTAGCATTTTCGCTCAAGGCTGATGCTCTACCACTTGAGTCACACCTCCACATGTACCTTTTTGCTGTTTACTTGGAGATAAGACTCTCATGGACCTTTCCTGTCTAGGCTGGCTTCAAATCACAATCCTCAGAACGCAGTCTCCCAAGTATCTTGGATTACAGGCGTGAGCCACCCATGCCTGGCTTCCAAAGCGTTTTTATGCTCAAGTCTTTATTGTTTATTGGTGCTGCTGAGCCAGAGAAGATATTCCCATTCTATTTTCCTTCCTTGGACGAGTCTTTGCTTTTCCAGTTTTCCCATTCCTTGGTAGCCCTTAAGTACCTCTCACAGGGAGGGGCAGGGCTGGTCCTCTGGGATCCTGCTGCCCCGAGGCTTCCCCTGGGGCCCCCCCCTCAGAGTCCTCCCACTGTGGCCCTCACCTGGCGTCCCTGGCTCTTCCTTTGTCACCATGGAGGGAGGGGTGACCCTTTCCAGGATTCTGCTCCTCCCTGCTGAGTCTTCCTCATATTTTTAGTTAGTTTTTGCCAGTCCTAGAGTCTGAACTCAGGGCCTTGCACTCATGTGGCTCATTTGCTTAGCTGATATTCAACCACTTGAGTTATGCCCCCAGCTTGACTTTTTTGATGTTGTTGTTAGTGGTCATGGGGCTTGAACTCTGGGCCTGGGCGCTGTCCCTCAGCTCAAGGCTACTGCTCTACCACTTGAGCCACAGCACCACTTCCGGCTTTTTCTGCTCATGTGGTGCTGAGGAGTCAAACCCAGGGCCTCATGCATGCAAGGCAAGCAGTCTATCACTGAGCCACCTTCCCAGCACCCCCAGCTTGACTTTTTGCTGGTTATTTTAGAGGTAGAGTCTCTTTAGACTTTTCTGCCCAGGCTGGCTTTGAACCTTGAGTCTCTGAATTTCAGCTTCCTGAATAGCTAAGATCATAGTATGAGTCACTGGTTCCTAGTTCTCTCTTTCTCTCTCTCTCACTCTCTCTGCTCTATCTTGGCTCCATCTATTTGTCAGTCTGTCTACTTATTTGATAGCACTGGAGGTTTGAACTCAGGGCCTCCTGATTGCTAGGCTGGCATTCTACCAATTGAATCACACCTTCAGCCCTTCTTTCACATGTTTTGGAGGAGCCCAGTGAGCAACAGCTTCCTGAGAAAGGACATCTGGGAGGCAGAGGTAGAAAGACCTGTGGAGTGAAAGTGTTCGTTTCCTACTCTCCTGCCTCACTGTTTACTTGATTGATTGATTGATTCATTCATTCATTCATTGTGGCACTGGGGATTGAACCCAGGGCCTTACATATTCTATATAAGTACTGAGTCACATCACCAGCCCTTGGTTTTTTTTTTTTTTTTTTTTGTGCTGGTCTGATGGCTTGGACTTGGGGCCTGAGCTCTGCCTTTTTTTTTTTTTTTTGCTACAGTCTAGCATTGTACCACTTAAGCCAGAATTCCACTTCTGGCTTTTCTGGCGGTTAATTAGAGCTAAGAATCTCATGGACTTTCCTGGCTATGTTGCCCTCAAACCAAAATCCTTAGATCTCAGCCCTGAGTAACTTGGGTTACTAGTGTGAGCCACTGGTGCCCAGCTTCACCAGCCCTTTTTATGTTTATTCTTTTAAGACAGGGTCTTGCTAACTTGACTAGGCTGGCCTCAAACTTGAGACCCTCCTGCCTCAGCCTCTGGCATGGCTGGGATTGCAGGCATGTAGCATCATACCTGTCTTCATTGTGAATCTTGGAAGCACAATTGCTTCTTGACTTTTTGGCTACAATCAAGTGTAGAATTTTGAAGACATTGTCCCATTATTTTTCATTTTAAATCTTTTGTGTGTAAACTGTTTTTTTTCTCTTTGGAATAGTAGAGGATTGTGTTTCTATTATCACTATTCTAAAAGTGTCCCACTGAAGACTTTGGAGGGGCAGGTTCATTTAGTGGGTGGGTACTTTGTGGCGTCTTCTAGTCTAGGCACACAGTTCTGGGAAATGTTGTTTTGTTGTAATTATTTCTGCATTGTTTTTCCCAAACTTATTTCCTTCCATTTTCTCTGATCTTTTCCCCTTCTCTCTTCTTATCTTTTTTTGAGATAGAATCTTGATAATATTTCACTGGCTGTCCTCAAACTCTAGCCTCAGCCTCCCAACTAGCTGGGACTGTAGGTACCTGCCACCATGTCCAGCTCTAGTCTCTTTTCCAATGATAGCTGAGATACAGTTATTATTTTTTTCTCTCCTATCTTTCCATCTCATTGGCCTTCAGTTCCTACTTTGCTCTTGGAGATTTCAACTTCATGTTCAAATCCTCCTATTGAGCTTTTTCTGCTTTTTTTTTTAAAATCTTCTCTACACAAGGGCTGTCCAGTCTCTTCTTGGTGGTCCGTAGGCCTGGTATGTTCATAATCTGAACCTTTCTCTAATCAGCTGGGTTGGAGAAGTTTGCTGTGGGGGGGGGGGAGAGTCTGTATTTAGGACTTCACATAGACCCTTAGATTTAGTTTGAGAACTCATCCTTTACTCCTTTTGGTCTCTTCTACAGCCTCTCTTGGTCAATTTCTTTAAAAAAGGAAAATTCTAGACTCCTGGAGTAGAGTGGGAGAGATTTGCACTTCCTTCTGCAGGGGTCTTACAGTTTTCTCCTGTCGGCTAACCCCTTCCCTTCTGCCTGGGGAACCATGTCCCAAGCTTCTGCTCTTTCAGGTATCTAGGTTTGTTCTTCTTGTTCTGTGGTGTCAACTGCTTTGCCTTCACCTGCCTCCCATTTCCTGAGCCAGTGCTCTGAACTTTACCTTGCCATTTATTGGATATTTTCTTTATCTCATTCTGAAGTTTTTTGTTTGTTAGTCAGTCATAGGGCTTGAACTCTGGACCTAAGCTCTGTCCCTCAGCTCTTCAGCTCAAGACTAGTGCTCTACCACTTGAGCCACAGTGCCACTTCTGGTTTTATGGTGGTTAATTGGAGATAAGAGTCTCATGGACTTTCTAGCCTGGGCTGGCTTTGAACCGTGATCCTCAAATCTCAGCCTCCCAAGTAGCTAAGATTATAAGCGTGAGCCACCGGTGCCCGGCCTCATTCTGCTTTTTGGTGTGCATGAAGAGTGTGGCTATTCATGTGCTATTCTTACGTGCTTCTGTGCCCCCTCTGGCAGGATGGAGAGGAAGCGGCACCACGATGGGTGGTGGAGACAGGTGAGGGTGGCACTGTGCAGACAGGATGTAGGCCTTCCCCGGAGGTGTCTGTCACAAAGGGCTGTGGCTTCAGGCTTCCTGGGGGAGAGGTGCCGGAGCACTGGCCAGGAGGGGACCTCGCTTTCCCTCTGTGGGAAGTTGCAGGCATCTCTGTGACAGGCCTGTGTGGCTGGAGAAGCGTTGGCACACGGGGGCAGCAGCTGGGGGAGAGTAGTAGGCTGTAATGTTGGCTGAGCACACATTTACTGCCATCAGCCAAAGACAGGATTCTGGAAAACTCCAGAATGTCGGGAGGGCACGGAGGGACAGGACCCAGTAAAGGAGGCAGACAGAAACAGGAGATGTTGGCTGGGGGTTGTGGAGCAGAGCAGTGCCCTTCTGTGTGACAGGCCTCCACTGCCTTGGATGAGTGGTGTTTCCGGGGCTGAGTGCCGTGGTTTGCTTCTCTGGGATGCACACTGGTTAGGAGCCAGGTTTGAGGGCTGATTTCCCACTGAAAGTCCCTATGGACCCAGCATTGCTGGGCCTAGAGGACAAAGCCCCTTGCCAAGGATGTCTGGAAGGGGGTCACCTGGGCACAGGTACTCCCAAAAGTAATCACCAAGCTAACAGACCTGGGTAATGTCCCTTTCCAGCACTTTCCGGGGGTGATCAGAGGCTGGGCATGTTTGGTCTCCCCTGGGAGGCAGGGAGGGGGACCCCTTATAGGTCACAGGCACCGAATTGACCCCACCACATGGCTATTCTCTTCCCATCCTGACAGCAGCTAGAAGAGGGTTAACGTAGCCCTGGAAAGATCTACCAAAATAGCAGCAGTGACTGGTTCTTCTTTTCTGTTCAGTGTTCTCGGTCTGGACACCAGGCCTCCCCGTGACCGGCTTGTGGTCGGCTGGCTCAGGGTTTCCCTTTTCAGTCACACTTCCTATCCTGGCCCAGATAAGCCCTGCTCCTCGGCCCCCAGCGCCTGCCCAGTCAGCCTGGGCCCCCAGCCTGTTTTCAGAGGCTCTGGAGCCATAGCTGCCAGAGGGTAGAGCTGAGACCCAGGGCTTGTATACCTGGCACCTGCTTCTTCTTCCTCAGAAGCCCTACCTCTAAGATATGTTGGATTCACCTGGGCAATGTGTGGCATATTTGTGTGTGTGCATGTGTGTGTGTGTGTGTGCATGTGTGTGTGCGTGTGTGTGTGTGTGTGTGTGTGTGTGTGTATGTGTGTAGAGAGGGAATTTTAGGGAGGGCAAATTTCAAGTGATTTCTGCCTGCAGACCTCCATGAGGTTCACTAATCTGACAGGCTGAAATTCTACTTTTATGAAGTAGCTTTTAAACAGGAAGTGGTTTTCCAAAAGTGTTCTCTTCTGACAGAATGGGGCTAGTGGGAGGGAGCTCTAGGCTCCAGGGAGAGGGTGATGTTTCAGAGGCACGCACTTCCAAAGCGCCCCTCCCCTAGGCCTCCTGACGGTCCCCAGACCTGCTCTTGGGACAGACATATTTATCTTTGAGTTTGACATTAATGAATTGTTCATGTAGAGAGAGCAGACCCAGAGCTCCACATGCCACACCCTCCTCCCCAGCCCCCCATTCTTCCTGTCCATATTGGAGAGGAAGAACGGGGTCTGGCATCAGCCTCATGGGGTCTTTTGGCATCTGTACTCTCCAGAACCACAAAAGCTCTTTTCCTCCCCATTTCCAGGCACCAGTTATGAAAGCACCAGTAACTTCCATAAGACCAGAAGGTTCTCAGAGCCTGGGATTCCCTTAGTGAGGTTCTGCAGCACGCTCGGAACTCTGAGAGGGCTCTCTGGGGAGAAAGGTGGTTTCCCAGCCCCTGTGCCAGTCTGTATTTTAGAGGTCTTTCTTGGTGCCCTGCTGTGGGGGTAAGGGGGTCTCTGTGCTGCAGGTGAGGTGCCCCCTTTGTCTTAAGGAAAATAGAACCGTCTGGGTCAACCTCAGGACGCTGGTAGACATGATGTTCTGAAGCCAGAGTCTTTACTGGGAAGCCCGCCTCTTCCATCGGGTGGCCTTCCTGCCCATCATGGTGGGTTAGGTGGATGAGCATCTTGCCGCCTGCAGCGGTAGGCGGTGGTACCTGCCTACTGAGGACGATTCCTCCCAGTGGGGTCGTTCTGGAGATTCCAGGGCAGGCAGTGAGCCATTTGTGCATTGCTTATGGGAAAACAGCCTGCTCTGGAAGACGGACAAGCCACGCGGCTTGGACAGGTTGATGTGCCTTACAGATGGGGAACTGAGGCAAAATCAAAAGAGCTTGGAGGCCAGGTGTCAGTGGCTTACGCCTGTAATCCTAGCTACTCAGGAGGCCGAGATCTGGGGATTATGATTCAAAGCTAGCCCAGGCAGAAAAGTCCATGAGACTCTCATCTCCAATTAACCACCCCAAATCCAGAAGTAGGGGTGTGGTTCAAACAGTAGAGATCTAGCCTTGAAGAAACAAAGCTAAGAGACAGCACCTAGACCTCGATACAGAAGTTTTGGAGTCAGACCATCTCGAGTCTTCCTGCACATCACCTCTCCTGGCCCTGGCCCTCATCAGGAAAGCCTCACAAGAGGGAAATGGTCATCAGCTGGTCAGACGGTGAAGGAAGTGAGCTGCCCTAGGTGTCTGCAGCATAGTAGGTGCTGGTGGCTGGTGAGGAAGTGCGCATGTGGTTAACTTGACTTCTTTTATTGTGGTAAAATATACAGAACATAAAACTCTCCTTGATCCTATTTCTTTCTGTCTTGTACTGAGGATAGAACCCAGGGACTGTGTATCCATGGCCAGCACTCTACCACTGAGCCACAGCCCCTGCTGCTAATCTTTCCACTCATCTTTCCATCTTTATGGATGTGCGTACTGTGGGTATTTCACATGAATGGAATCACATGGTTCGTGTCCTTTGGTGTCTGGTTTGTTTCACACAGAGTAATGGTTTCGGTGTTCATTAAAGTGGTAGTGTTTCTTGGTGCTGTATTCCTTCTTACGCCTGAATAATGTTCTGCTGAGCCTTTAATTTGGAGAATTCACAGGGTGGGTCTGAATGTTCCCTCTAAGCTAGGGATCTTTCTCATCATTGCTGAATGACTGGTGTAGCGATTTGACCACAGGAGGTATGGCCCTGGATGAGGGAGCCGGGCAGAGTCAGGGCCAGGCTGCCGGGAGCTCTGGTAGAGAGCTTGACCCGGGGTGGCAGCAGCAATTCTTTCTGTTGCTGGACAGAGGGCAGAGCTGGGCGCACGCCCGGAAGGGCTGTGCTGGCAGATAACACATGGCTCCTCTGTCTCCTGCAGATGCAGGAAAAGGCCAAGGAGATCTACATGACCTTCCTGTCCAATAAGGCCTCGTCCCAGGTCAACGTGGAAGGACAGTCTCGGCTCAATGAGAAGATTCTGGAAGAACCACACCCTCTGATGTTCCAGAAACTTCAGGACCAGGTAACCTGCCTTCCCGCCCACTCTTAGATTTGAGAAATGACCGTCATTCCAGGGAGTTCAGAAACACCAAACGCTGGGTTCTGCGGAGACCAGGTCACTGAGCTGGGCAGGCCAGGCAGGGCAGGACTCTGCCCTCTCGGGGCAGGCAGGGCTCTGGTGGCCCAGGAGTGGGCACCGGAATCTCAGGCTCAGCATGGGACCTGTGGGCTGATCAACCTGGACTGTTCACTCTAGATCCGCAGGGTTCTCTGCCCTCTCAGCTCAGATGGGAAGAGAGACTGGGGTTACGTGGGGAACCTGCAATGGAGAACCAACATTGCTGCTGAGGGAGACAGAACAGTCAGGAAATAAACCCAGTGATTCAGATATTCATGCAATTATCTAATGCCCCACCCCCACCCCCCGGGTCTAAGGTCTCTCAGGAGCTCTTGGCTATGATAATATGTCTTCATATTGTGTCCCCTGCGTCCAAATGACAGCATGAACATTTGCCAGCTGGAAAAGGTAGGCTCAAAAATGGACTTGGGAACATTGGGTATGGGTGGCTCATGCCTATAGAGTAATCCTAACTACTCAGGAGGCTGAGATCTGAGGATCACGATTTGAAGCCAGCCAGAGCCAGAAAACTGTGAGACTCTTGTCTCTAATTAACCACCAAAAAAGTTGGAAGTAGAGCTGTGGCTCAAGCAGTAGAGCGCTACCCTTGAGTGAAAAAAAGCTAAGGAACAGACAGGGCCTGAGTCCTAGATTCCAGATCCAGTACTGCCACACACACACAGACACACAGACATAGACATACACACAGAGGCACACACACAGACACACAGTCACATACACAGACACATACATAGACACACGGATACACCACACACATACACACAAGCCCAACTGTGGTAATGTGGTTCAGCTTTTGAGTGTAAAGAAAGTGTTTTTGTATCCCCTTGTTAATCATTGCTATTTGAGGGGAGAGAGAAGTACAACTATGTCCCCATAGCACTGTTAGGTGCAAACGGGGTCAGGTTGTCCCATCTTCATGGTTCTAAGACCCGTCGGACACCAAAATCCTATGAGCCTCTCATGTGAAATAGTATTTGCACATAACTTACATCCTCCATTCATTCTAGATTGTTCTAGATCACGTATGTAAATCTCATGCCATGTAAATACCATGCAGATAGCTGTTCTCCTGCATTTCTTGGGGGATAATGATTAAAAAGCAGAGTCTGGTTGTGTTCAGTGCAGCTGCCGTTTTCATTTCTCTGAGCATTTTCAGCTCGGTGGGTTGAATCTGCGTGGGGAATCCGGCCTGTGGACACAGTCCCCCGTGTTCAGAATGTGAGCTGATTTCACAGTGAGCCTCTGGGGATCCTGGCTGGAGATGGACTGCAGCTCTTGGTTCCCCACAGGCCCCCCTTGAGGAGGGGTCCCTGCTTTTCCTTAGTGAGGGAGATTAGAGCCAGGGGCCTGATTAGAAACATGAGAGTTCACAGAACTGACTTGGGCTGTGCCGAGAACTGTGTGGTGTAATGGTGGGGCTGCCCTGGGCTGGTGCTCTCCCTGTCCTCCCCACCCCTCCCCGGGAATGTGTCTGGAGGCCCTGCTCCTCCTCAGGGTATGGATGGGCTCTGCTGCTCCTCCCCTCCCCCCCCCACCCCTCCTGCAGCTGGGACCTCCTAAGCCCTGGCTGAGAAGAAGTGGCTAGCAGGCTTCCAATTTAAAAGAGAGCTTTGTAGGATTTCATTCAGGTCCTGTTAACCAGATTTACATGCAGCCTCACAGGTTTAGTCCTATAGTTTATAGCAGATTTCTTTTTCTGCTGGTAGTAAGGCTTAAACTCAGAGTCTGGATGCTATCGCTGTCTTGTGTTTTTGGTTTTTTTTTGTTTTTTGTTTTGTTGTTTGTGGGGCTTGAACTCTGGGCCTGGGCACTGTCCCTCAACTATTCAGCTCAAGGCAAGTACTCTACCACTTGAGCCACAGTACCACTTCTGATTTTCTGGTTGTTAATTGGAGATAAGAGTCTCATGGACTTTTCCTGCCCAGGCTGGCTTTGAACCATGATCCTCAGATCTCAGCCTCCTGAGTAGCTAGGATTACAGGCGTGAGCCACCAGTACCTGCCTATGTCTTGTGTTTTTCATCAAGGCTGGACAATCTTAAGTTGTAGGCAGCTGGGAGGGAGATGGCTGCTTTATGAAGAGTTGGTTTCCTCAGTAGATTGCAGTTCCATCCACAAGGACAATGCTGAGAAGGAAATAGAACCCCTGAGAGGTGGCTGTGAGCGGCAGGGAGGGGCTAGTGCGGGTGTCCTCATCATGGAGGCTCTCCTCAGAGAGGCCACTGAGACCTGAAGAACAAGGGGAGCTACGTGGACAGACTAAGAATCACCATCCTCCAGCGAGAGGCCAATGCAGAGTCCCTGAGGCAGGTGGTAGCTGGGTGCGTTGAGAGGATCAGGGTCAGTGTCCTGCATGATAGTCTGGCACTGGTGCGCTAGTCACTCCTTTAATGAAAGGATTTTGAGTGGGGGCTATTTATAGTGTGGCCCAGTTGGATGAATAGGATTTGATCCTCTTGAAAGCTGGGCTCCTTGGCTCTGATGTCCAACGTTGGAGTCCTGTCTCCACCAGAGTCAAGACTGTTGGGAATGGCTGAGTGCAGAGCCATCTTTGTTACTGGAAGATCAAGGGTGATCCTTGACCTCCAGACCCAGGCCTCTCCTGCCTCTCAGACCATCACTTCCTGGATGCTGAGCTCAGACTCAAAGTCGTGGTGCCTCTCAGCACCTTCCCAGAAGAGCCCAGTCCTGCCTCCATCTGGCCTCAGGCAGGTTCTGTTCCTCGTGTGCCATCCATGCCACTATGTGTAATGTGCGACTTTCCACAAGCGCTGTTGTCCCTGGAGGAAAAGCACCAAAAATGCATGGTACCTGGTGTTAAAATGCCATCCTCAGTAAGCTGGGTACTGGTGTTTACCCCTTGAATCCTAGTTCCGTGGGAAGCTGAGATCAGGACTGTTGTGGTTTTAATCCAGCCAGGCAGAAAAGCCCACGAGATTCTACCTCCATGGAGGGAATCTGGACACGGTGGCATGCACCTGTGACCCCAGCATGTACAGGAAGCCAAAGATAAATGGATTGTAGCTCTCATGTGTATTCAGGCAAGCAAGAAGACCCTATCTCAAAAGTAACCAGCCAAAAACAGTGCTGGAGGCATGGTGCAAATGGTGCCCAGCAAGCATACAAAGTCCTGAGTTCAAATCCCAGTAATGCCAAAACAACAACAAAGTAGCCCCTGGTAGCCAGATCCTTGTTTCCTTAGATTTAACTCTTCTCCCCCAAGTTCTTAGACTGTAGAATTCATCAGTTGTGTGATATCGGGAAAGATCCACTTTCATCTCTGTGCCTAGATTTCCTCCCACTGTTGACCCTCTCCATGACCCTGTGACCTTTAGTAAGCTACAGAAAGGCCAACTTCAGCTGAACACTGCAGCTCTTACCTGGGCGATTTTGCTGATAACTATGCCCAGAGGCATTTTTGGTTGTCATAATTGTTGGTGGAACATCTACTGGCACCTAGTGGGTAGAGCTCAGGCTCGGCCCCACAAGTGCCCAGGGCAGCGCCCCCTCCCCCAACACAATTATTTGGCTCAGTATAATGTGCCGTCTCCACACGCGGCAGATTCACAATCCTTACCCTCAAGTCCCCACCTGAAAAGCAGTAAATAGCAGCCAGGTCCATTTTTGACACTGGAAAAAATGTCCAAACAAATGCTTGTCAAGTTCATGTGTGGTTCACGCATGCATCTCATTTTAGTTAAAGCTGGCTGGTGGAGCACGGGACCTGGCTCCTTGTGTACAGAGTTCATGGCTGGAAGGGAGGGCGCAGAACCTGAGCTGGGACCTCTGGGTCACCTGGACTCTTCCTGTCTCATCCTCATCGTGAGAGCCGGGGACCTTGGAAATGTGGTTTTGCCCGCCATTGGGTGATTCCCTCCCTATCACCAGCTTTTCACAGCTCTGGTACAAGCGGGGCATCGGTATAGGTGGGGCGTCTGGTACAGGGCTTGAGCCTTTAGTGACCTGTGCAGTCTCCTTCTCCTTTTCCTCATACACCTCCCTCCTCTGCTACTCTCTCCTTTCTGTCAGTCCTGGCTGTCCCTCTGTCCCTCAGTCCCTCAGAGTCAGCTGCCACAGGAAGGGACAGATTAGGCACAGCAGATGAATTCTCTTTTTCTTTGTAAGAAAGATGCTGGCTGTGTCACATGTGTCCTGTCGACCTGCCTGGCTGGGAACCCAGGATCACAGGCCCTCAGTGAACTGTCCTGTTGTTCTCACTCAGGATTCCAAGCAAATTCCCCAAATTAGTATTTTGCCAGTTGTGGGGCTTGAACTCAAGCCCCGCTTCTATCACTTTGAGCCATAGCTCCACTTCCACTTTTTCTGTCTATGTGGTATTGAGGAATCAAACCCAGGGCTTCATGCATGCTAGGCAAGCACTCTGCCACTAAGCCACATTCCCAGCCCTCCCAAATTAGCTTTAATTATTTATTTATTTATTTTTTTGTCGGTCGTGGGACGTGAACTCTAGGCCTGGGCACTGTCCCTTAGCTCGTCAGCTCAAGGCTGGTGCTCTACCACGTGAGGCACAGTGCCAATTCCGGTTTTCTGGTGGTTAATTGGAGATAAGAGTCTTGTGGACTTCCCTGCCCAGGCTGGCTTTGAACCTCGATCTTCAGATCTCACCCTCCTTAGTAGCTAGGATTATAGGTATGAGTCACTGGTGCCCAGCTTTTTAAATTGTTAAATGGTTACTATGTGATCATCATTTTAAAATAATGAAAAGGAAGTTCGTAGTTCCAGGAGGTTCTGTGAAAAGTTAAAATCCCTTACTTCTTCCCTCTCCCTAGTGTGACACCTCTTAAAGTTATCTATCCTGTCCGGTCCTTCCTTAGACAGGCAAGAGCAGAGGTTCAGGGTCTTTCCATGGAACATGAGGTCATG